TGCTCCCCACTCTGTCTCTGGGGAGTCCTCTCACCGCCCCTGCACCTCTGGCCTGTACCCCAGTTTTGTGAGCATAGATAAATACATCTTTAAAAAAAGAAAACAGTGATAAACCAGACTTCATCAAAATTAAAATCTTGCACTTAAAAGACCATATTAAGAAAATGGAAAGATAAACCATACACTGAGAGAAAAAAACTTGAAAATCGTATCGATTGCAACTGAGATGGAAAAATGCACAAAAATATGTAAAAATAAACTATTATAAAATTTTAAAAAATCATATCTGATAAGGAATTTATGTAGAGAAGCTGTAAAGAGTTCTCATAATCAATAGTAAAGTAAGCAACACAACTATCAAACGGGCAGAAACGGACAGAGGTATTTCAGCCAAGCAGATACAGAGGAGCTAAAAGGCACACGGAGACACGGGCAGATGCTTGGGTCTCTGACCGTCGCCAGGGAGGTGCCAGTTCAAGAGCACAGTGCAATCCGCCACACCTGTGCCAGGCTGGCTAATAAAAAAGACAGTAACTGGGGTGGGTGAAGAGCCGCCACCCATCGCTGGTTAAGACTCTGAAACAGTCCAAGCTCCACTGGACTCTGGAAAGCAGGCTGGTGGTTTCATAAAGCCCGAATTCACCGCACAAGCACCCACTCCTAGCCCTGAACCCAAGGGGTGGGGCAGATGCCTGCCACGGACAGGGGCACCGCAGGAGACTCCCAGCTGCCAAGGGCCCGAAACACGCCGTGTCCCCCCTCGCCCCCCATGAACGGACGAACAAAAGGCGGCCGTCCACAGTGGATTCCAGGCGGCGGTGAGACGTGAACAGGCGCCCACACGGCACCGTAACGTCGGCTCAAGAACGGAGCTCCCGGGGAAAGATGCCGCAGGCTGCCGTCCCTCGGCAGTCAGCCAGGCAGTGCAGGGGCTGCCGAGGCTGGGGGTCCGGAGGCTGTTATGGCGGGCAGGGAGGGGGCTCTGGGTGGGGCCACGGAAAGCCCCAAGCTGCATTATGGAGACGCTGTGCAGCTCCAGCCAATTACTGCATATAAATAAGCTGGAAAAAGCTGTTGAAACAGCGCCCATCTTTCTTGATACACACACAGCGATGTCCCCGGAGGGGCGGGGGGTCGGGGGGAAGTGGGGAGGTCCGGGGGAGGCGGAGGGGCTGCTGCAAAATAACCCGGTTCCACCAGCCGACCGGGCTGAGTGGAGCCTTCTTGCAGTTGGGCTAATTGTCTGTGCTCGACATTTTCCATAATAAAAGTTAAACACACGCAGGGAGTGACCCAGAGGAGGGGCCATGGCCGCAGTGACAGGCAAGGACGGGCGCAGCCGGGGGCCTGGGCCGACGCCGGCGGGCGCCAGCCGCTCCCTACCTGGAGAGTAGCGTATGACCGAGAGCTGCTCGCTGCCGTCCGTGTGCACAGTGACCAGGTCCGTCGTCTCGGTGTCCAACACGAACCACCTGTGCGCAGCAGAGGACGAGAGCTGCTTAGTGGGCGCCGGTGGGCTGACGCAGTGAGGCGGCCACCACGAGCCACCTGGGGGCCCCGCGGGCACCGAGTACGCTGGACACACTCCCCCAGTCTCGGCTGAGGACCTTGCACACGGGAAGCCGCGGCGCGTGGCCGCCGGGCCGGGGCTGGCGGGCTCCTCGGTGTCTTGCTTTGTCCCTTGTGTGCGAAAGGAGAGCGGCAGAGCACACGGGCCACCTGCCAGGGCCTCCCTAGGGGAGGCGGGGCGGGCCACGCCGGGCGTCCTCCCGGGCCAGCCGAGGGCAACGGCTCTGACCTCGTGGCTGGCGGGCAGGAGCCGGAGGACAGAGTCACCGAGGGCGAGCGGGGCCGGCTTGGGCTTCACCTCTGAGCAGTTCCTGCAGCTGCAGAGGGGGACGCGGCCCGGCCCCTCGGCAGACTCGGAGGACAGGCCGTGTAGGCGCTTCGCCTCTTGGCACAGGCCAGCCGCTGCTGGGCATGGGGCTGGCGAGGGGCAGCTCTGGCGCGCGGGCAGAGGCTCTGCTCGGTGCTCGGGGGTGCAGGGGCGCTCCCGTGCTCAGGGACAGGAGCGGGGCCTCTGCTGTGGGGTCCACCCAGGTGCTGGCACTGGCACCGCCTGCTCGCCTTCCACCAGGGCCCCACCCGCCCTCGTCGTCAGTGGCTCGGCCCCCCACTGCTCCCCAACATGGGTTCCCGACAGCTCAACGGCCACTCACCTCTCACGGGCTATTTAACTGAGGCCAGAAGATGAGAACCCGAAAGAAGGGCTGACCGGGCTGGGGGTGTGCTGGGGAGGGACCAGAGGGCACTGCCTGGGGCCCCGGCAGCCTTTCGCCCTTCGCCACACAGCATGGACAGGGCAGCGGCTGGGTCCCCCCTCGCCAGGGGC